TGGGTCCATCAAAGTTGTCTATATCGTTGGGTGGATGAAAAACAGAAAGGCAATGCTCTGCGTTCTGTCAGTTGTCAACAGTGCCAAACAGAATATATTATAGTCTTCCCGCAAATGGGCAAAGTAACCAGCATACTGGAAGCTTTCGACAATCTGGTTAAACGTGTTAGTCCATTTTTGGCGGCCGGTGTTTTGGTCGGTTCTTTATATTGGACTGCAGTGACTTATGGAGCTGTTACTTTCTTGCAAGTATGTATACTGGATCACAAATCTTTTTTGTCCGTTTTCCTTTAAAGCGCGTTATTTTGTTTCGCGTTTTAGATTGTTGGTCATAAAAAAGGACTAGCATTAATGGAAAATGGGGACCCGCTAATACTTCTTATTGGTTTGCCAGCACTACCGGTAGCTTTAGTTTTAGGTCGAATGATACGCTGGGAAGATGCTGTGATTCGGCTTATTCGTAATCGTCGCAGTGTGGCTCGAAAATTTCCTCTCATGAGTTTTATTATTCCATACCCGTAAGTACAGTGAACATTGTCTTAATCTGCAAAACAGATTTCTCACAATTTTTCAAACCATAAGGAGAGAATAAGAATTTTCTCGTTAGCAATTATAGTGAACGGATTAAGGGGATGCGCGTTTCGCTCAAGTAATAATTATCTTCCATCCTTATGGGAAGGAAGCGAAGCAATAATGTGACACTAAAAAGCTTTATTTAGCATTTAAGAAAGACAGAAAAATACAATCGGATTTCTTTGCGATATCCAATTGCCAATTGCAATATGCTCTGCGTAAGGTACTTGGATATAAAAAAGGCATTAGATTGCATAGAAAGCTAAAACTTCGTCTGGCAGCGTTGAAATATATATACTTATATATTTGTGTGTTTTATGGATCCAAAGAACTTTTGTTTTAGGCCATTGGCTAGAAAATTCAGAAAATTTCCATTTCTCTTACTTCTATTTCCTTAGTTTATGTATTTATTTAGTGTTTGAACACTTGTCTGTCGAATTCGTTATAGGACTCTCCCTTTGCTTAGATATCTATTAAACTGATTGTATAGTAAGTGATCATTTATTTTTCCTAGCGAGGAGGACGAAGAGCAAACTGCACAAAACCCAGTTACACCAACTCTCTCGGATCCAGTTTCGGCCACCCGTATATTTTGTGGAGCTTTACTTCTACCAACGATATCGTCAATTGTGGGCCGTTTACTTTTCGAATCCATTGAAAATACTTTACATCGTACTCTGCTTGGTGGTCTAACTTTCATTACTGTGAAAGGTATATTAAAAATCTATTTAAAACAACAACAATACACGCGTAGAAAGAAACGTCGTATTGTCGATTATACCGAAGAAAATGTGCGCAACTATGTAAATCGCGCAGGAGTCCGTCAACAACAACAGCAACAACATGGTGGCGGTAATGCTGCAGCCGCCCAGAATATTCAGCCACAGCAGGCATTATCGCAGCAACAACAAGCGGCTGCACAAATACGTAACGCAAGAGAAAGCACTGTACGTGATAGTTTGGTATAGAATTCAAAAATGATTCAATTTAATAAATTTCTGTAATCGTTTTAACTGCTGCTGAGTGAGAATTCCGAGTCAACTTTAATCAAAAAACGCCTACATTTTAATTAAAACAATTGAAATTTTTTCTCTTTATATCCCGAATATCATATTTAGACGATCTTCAGCGGAAAAAAAAAATAAATAAAATAATAATAATAATGATAATGATAATTTTATCCTTAAATGAAAAACTACAAAAATTTATCAAATTATAACATAACAGACTTGGACTATTTAACAATTTTACAAAAATGTACGATTTCAGAATTTAAGCACAATTTTTCCATCCTCACGTTTTTAACAGAATCTTATAGGCAAAAAAAAAAAAAAAACAAAAAAAAAACCGAGAATCTTATCAACGTACGTATACACAATTAGACAAGAGAGGAAAAAAAGAAACAAAAATACAAATACAAATTTTTTATATGTGAACTTGAACAAGACGCTTGTAGTTCAGGATAAAACAGAAACAACCTCTAAATAATTGTTCGAAAATCAAAGAATAATTAATAATATAATAAAATAGAGCTTTAATAGCTTTAACTCAGAACTGAAGGATATAAGGTTAATTGTATATGCTGTATAGTTTTCCACTAATGCCATATATAATATGCATAATGCATTATAAGTCATCATATAATCCCTTTGATATATACATATATATATATATATATATATACATACCTATGTATGTTTATATACATATATATATATGTATATATGTTTGTTTTCAAGAAAATATTTATTTTTAAATTGGTTGTCATATATACTTTTCGTAAACATAAGCTATGAGTACTTTTGATGTAAGAATT